TTGATATGGAATAATTTGATTTTCCCTCTAACTCTGATATAGTAATATACACCATTATCTTTGCAGTTAGTCACACGATATGGTCCACGCCATTGCATTATCAACTTGTTATTGGAGGAAGGGAGGAGAACAACTACTTCATCAACTTTAAATTTACGGATTTTAGATTGTACGTCATAATAAGCTTTACAGTTTTTACTACTAATTTCTGCCTGAGAAGTAGCTAGTTTTGCCGTCTCTTCTAGGCGTGATCTCAAATCTAAAACATATTGATATGTCGTTTTAATATCATTATCTATTGTATCATTGGTCCAAAGTTCATGCAATATAGTTAAGGGACTTCTAACTTGTCGCCCATAGAGAAGCTCGAAAGGTGAAAACTTGAGAGAGTCGTTCGGAATCTCTCTATATGCAAACAGAACAGCTGGGATATATCTGTCCCAATCTTGTGGATCACACAACTTTTTAAGCATTGACTTAAGCACACCATTTAAACGTTCTACAGCACCGGTACAGCAAGCATGATAAGGTGTAGTATATAAAGCTTTCACTGATAATAACCTATGAATTTCTCTCATAAGATCTGATCTAAATTGTTGACCTCTGTCTGAAAGCATTTCTTTGGGAATACCCACTCTCGAAAAGATCTCAACTAGGCTTTCAGCAATTGTGATGGTGTCGATGTTTTCAAGGGAATCGCCTCAGGGAAGCGTGTTGCATAATCAATCAGTGTGAGAATGTATTTGTATCCCCTCTCTGAACTAGGTGTTATGGGACCTACGAGGTCAATTGCAACACGTGAAAATGGTTTGAAATGACTGGAATATTTTTCATAGGAACTCTCTTAACGCTACCTTTGGCTGAAGTCTTCTGACAGATATGACAGGATTTACAGTATCTTTTAATCTGAGCTCCAGCTCCTGGCCAGAAAAACTTCTGAAATATCTTATAACTAGTTTTCCTGTGAGAAAAGTGACCTGCAGTAAGTGCATCATGAGCTATGTTGAGTACTTTAACCCTATATTTCTCAGGTATTATAAGTTGTTTCTTACCCACCTCGTGGACAAGTTTGCTTTCTACGCAAATTCTAAAGATTAATCCATTTATCAACTCGTACTTTACCGTGCGAGACTTAACTCTCTCAGTTTTACCAGTGATAACTTTTCCCTGATATTGTTTAAAGTAGGACAGGTCTTTTGAGCCTCATTAAGATCATTCTTATTAACATCAAGATCAGTTAAACTTGGGCAAGATAATGGCTTTGCTCCTTTATCACCTTTTACTGAAGCACGCGTCTGAACAGCCATGGACATTGCTGTCGATTCAGTAACTTTTCCCTCTGAACAAGGAAACTCAGACTTACATACCTCACAATCAAGTGGACAAGACAGACCAGATTTAATTTCGGAATGAACCGATGTAGGATGTTCATCTGTAATAGCGGCGGATACCCTAGAACCTTCGTCCTCACAAGGGAGCTTCACACCTGGAATTAATCCCATCAGAACATCTGCGAACTTTACAGGGGCAGCCTGTAAAGAATTTGCACTTAATAAAGCATCTCACTTGAGGGAACATCTTACATATGTCTAAATATTCGTAAACTTTGATGAGCATTACTTCCACAGGTTTATTAAAAACATATCCCTTATTATCAATGATACAAGTTTTAGGTTTTAACTCAGACTCGAAAACAAAATTTACTTTAGCTTCATTATTAGTCTTACACTTGAAATTCCTTGGGTTATCTGGGCAATTAGGTCTAATGTGTCCTGGCTTACCACAACCATGACATGAATATTCTACATGAACTTTAGGTGTAGCAATAGCTTTTGGAGGCTGAGAAAATCTGACTGGTCTCGCGCGGTAATTATGTGCACTACGGTATCTGTCTGCAGATTCAGCCATCTCCAGGGAATTGCTGAATTGACGTTCTTTAAGGAAAACTCTAAGGTCTGAATTACAATTACTCAGCAACTGTTCTCGAATAAGGAAGTCAAAAATAGAATCATAATCTTTCTTCACTTCACTGAGAGAAAGCCATCTATCCAAATACTGCTCCATTCTTACGACCAGTTGAACGAAAGATTCCTTTCTTTACACTTGCTTTCTCGGAATTTACGCCTGTACATATCAGCATCGACGGAATATGCCCTTAGCAAAGCCTCTTTAAGTTTACAGCAATTTTTAACTGTCTCGTCAGGCAAAGATATGTACGTCTTAAGTGCGTGACCTCTCAATAACGACCCTAAATGGATATGATAATCGCATTCTTGCCAATTATGCAAATCTGCTAATCTTTCAAACCGTTGCAAGTATGAATCGATATCATCCTGCCCGTCACAAACATCGGCAAGCGTAAACCCTCGTACAGCGGAGCAGAAACACCACTAGCATTGTTTGTTTCGTTTGAATCAACGCGTAGTTGAGCAATAGCAAGTTCATGTACTCTTTGCTTTTCAGCATCTGCTAACTCCATCTCCAATTTCTTAGCTTCGCGTTCGGCAGCCCGCTCTTCCCTTTCAGCTTTTTCAGCCGCGGATTTCATTTCCTGTTCAATGAGTCTTTGTACAGATTCAGGACTCATGCCGAGCGCCTGAGCCTCTCTCATTATATCCACAATATTACTCATGGAAATTCACACTATATATATATATATATATATATATATATATATATATATATATATATATATAAGATACATTAATAAATTATGAAAATACGAATATACATTAATTCGGTCATGTGATACAAACAGCTATTTAATTACTAAAAGCTGATCACAAAAGTTACACAAATCTAGGATTTATATTAAGTAAGAGTGACAATTACGCATAAGATCCTCGTAACGTGAAAATAATATGAAGCGAAAAACAGCTTCGGGCTATTCAGAAATGCAGGACATCCAGCGAAAACTACACCTGCCTCGTTCATTAACGAGGAGAAACACTGTCGCTACAATTACTGAATGTAACAATCACAGCCACCTCACCTATATCTCCCTTACGCGTATGTTTGGCGTTTACATCCTCATTCGGAATGATGCCTCAGGAAAAACTAATGTTGGAAACACTCCTAAAAATATATGGCATGTTAATAGAAAATCATAGATGTTAATTATCTTCACACTTCCGCACTTTCTTAAAAGAAAGTATACCGAATAATGAAAAGCCGTTCCGTAATTACCAATCCTACTCACTGCGCCACTGTCGGTTCTTTTGATTTAGTTAAGTATTGGTAATTCACCTTTACCTTTTCATTATCCAGATACCTTTTAAAAGAAAGGGGTATAAAAAGATATATTTTTTTATATGCCAAATATATTATAAACAAAGAATAATAAAATTACAAATAATATAGTCCGTAGGATGTTTTACAATTATACTGATGCGAGACTTGTTCTTAGGAGGGGGCGTGTCACGGACGACTATCAAGGCCGTGCGCCGATTAATACTGTCCAGCCTTTCTTGATATTTTTTTTTTACAAACATTAAAAAGGCTGTGAAAGAAAATAAAAAGTTGATTTAATAAATATGTATAGGAAAAGTTTCCTATACAAGAATAAGCTAATAAGTATACAAAAGGGCGGTCACTTACGAGATGATGTTTCACAGTGCTCCCATGAGCAAGTGTTATGGTGGAGTGAACGATTACCCCCCCAGGTGGCTATGTAGTGGGGAACCACCGCGCATGCGCAATGCGTAAGGGATGGTACTTACAAACGCAACTAAATACAAGTTCAAATAAGGTTCAATTTCTTTAAATTAAATGTATAATGAATCCATTATAATTAATACAATTCCTTGACATGCTGAGGCGTCAGAGACTGGAGCAATCTGTATTTACTCCTGGTAAGCCCACAATAGACCGGATCCTAGCGCTTCGAGTCATTATAGAGCGTCGTCGTGCGTTCGGCGTGGGCTACTTGCAGTTTACATCGACCTCAAAAATGCATTGGATATGGTGCATCAGAATCACTCTGGGAGATCTTGAGCCTGAGAGGAATTCCAACAAGGATTATTGGACTAATAGCAAGTCTGATAATGCCAGTTTTGCTCTACGGTAGTGAAACCTGGACACTATCCTGCGCCTTGTAGTCTCGACTTGATGCCTTTTGTAATAGGTCCTTGCGCCGGATCATGGGGTACTGTTGGCGGGACCATGTGTCCAACCAACGGCTACACCGTGAGACTGGCACAGGACCTATTACCTGCACAATCCGTGATCGCCAACTCAGGCTTTACGGCCACCTGGCTCGTTTCCCTCAGGATGATCCCGCCCACCAGGTTGTCTCTGTTCGAGACAGCCCTGGGTGGAGGAGGCTTGTGGATCGACCTAGGAAGTCGTGGCTTGGGCAGATCGATCAAACCTGTCGTGTGGAGCTTGAGATGGGCCGAGTCCCTGCCTGGCGACTTGCCATGAGGGATCCTCGCAGGTACAAGCGGAGGGTGGATGCGGCTCTGCGCCCCGTCGGCGTTAGCTTCGCAGTGATGATGATGAACTAATGCCATGCTTTTTGCTATCATTTATTTTAGGTCAGTGAAAGATTCAATGACTTTTATATATTCAAAAAATAGATAAACATTTTTTATTGTCTCGCCCTCTTGCTTACATCTTGTCGGAAATTCTGCTCAATAATTTAGTAATAAAAGTACATCTTGCATGTTTATGCATGATGCTTGCGACACTGACGGGCAATTGACACGGTCCTCGCTTCCCCTCCATTCCACAATTCGAATATTAATTGTGAGATACCGTAAACCTGTTGTAAAGGATTATATATCAGTTGTGATGTTTGTTATACAGTGGGTTATGGTTGTGTAAATGAATTCAACAAAATCTGAGTTGACTGATATGATGTGACCTCAACACAGTGAACAAACTCCCTTCTTAAAAAGAATTATAAAATGCTCTAAAATGTATAAATGAATAGATAGGCATATATTGTTGAACAGATTTATGGACGAAAACATTATATTTTAATGTTCAATGTAAGCTTCATGCTTGTGAGCTTAGAATACATTCTCTTTTCTATCCTACCAAATCCAAATAAATAGTTGTTCTTATTAATTGATATCCATATAAATAATTATACCGTTTAAAAGTCGAGAGAGAAGCGTAGCCACTGTCGTTCTTACAGTCTAAACTGCGTTTGATTAGAGGAAATTAATCTATTTTTTCAGAGGAAATTAATCTATTTTTTCAGATTTATACAACAAGTTGCCTGCCTTGTGTGTAATAATTTGTAAATTACATGATTAAATTTATTTTCCAGGAGCCGTTTTCTCCAATCGAGTTGCGTGATGAAGGACCTCCTCCTCCTGAGTCTTCTGAAGGACCTCCTCTTCGTAAGATTGTCTCCGCGCACACATACACATATTCACATATGCGTATATGGTTACACACATGCACGCATACATACGTACATACGCACAAACACAAACATACATACATATGCACAAAGCTACAGATACAAGCATAGGCACAAATATACATGCAAAAACGCACGCACACACGTTGCCATGATGATAATTGCTATATTTGTTGTGGTTATTAATGTCAATATCGTGATCTTTTTTTTTCTTTTTTCATTACTAAATACGAAATACAATGGTTGGAAATATAAGGTTCTGTTGAGAAATGAGAAATTGTCAGTATTGCAGCGTTCATTTTCACACCATGCTCTCTTCATTCACACACACCACCCAGCACAACACACAACACCCAAACACACACTATAATTCATACTCAAAATTAGCACAATTTCATCCTCCCCTCAGCAGGCCAGCGCATCATGGGAGGTCGTGAGGCAACTCCATTCACGCGCAAGTACCAGGCTTTTCTGAGAGCAAAACGTCATTTCTGTGGGGCTGCTATCATCAGTGACCAGTTTGTCTTGACAGCTGCCCACTGCGTAGCGTGAGTGATGATAGTGATGATGTTGACGATAATGATAATATTACCATGGTAATGCATATAATGGTTATGATAAAAAATAATGTAAATAATATTCGTAATACTGATATGTATTAAAAATATCAATAATCATAAGAATGATATTGATAATAAAAGTAATAATAATATAATAACGATAATAGCAACAGTATACTGTCATAGTTCAGTCCTGTTTCAGCATATATTACAGCTTAAACAGTTTCGACTCTTTCTTTTTCGCCATAATAATTTGCTCTCTCCTTTCTTTTCCTTTTCTTTTTCTTTTATTTCTTAGCCGCACTGACTACACAATGGTTGTAATTATGGGCATACACGATCTAAGGAGGAAGCAAAAGTTTTCCCAGGAGATTATCGTTGTGGGGTCATTCATCCATCCTGAATATGGCAACGGATTCACGATCAGCAATGACATTGCTGTTGTGAAACTGCAGAGGAGGATACGTTATCATCGTAATATTTTTTCTGTTCATGTTTAAGGAAGTAAATGTGCTTGTTTGTGTGTGTGTTTGCATATGTGTGCATGCCTATATATTTATACACTTGTCTAAATATGTTTTCGTAAAAGTCAGTTAAATACGCTGTCATATATACATATATGCATGCATGTATATGCATATATAAAAAATATATATGTAATGCATATATAGATATATATGTAATGCATATATAGATATATATGTATCATATATATACATATATATACATGCATTAATGAAAAAATAAACGCTTTTCATTTCCCTTCTTAGGTAATATTTCCCCTATTAAATTGCCGACTCGGGACATAGACTTGAATACGCCTATAGTGGTCACCGGCTGGGGAAAAACTTGTAAGTAATATAAGCACTTAATAAGACACTGAATGTTTAATATATATATATATATATATATATATATATATATATATATATATATATATATATATATATATATATATCTTTTTACTAAAATGAAGATCCTTTTATCTACACTTTGATTTCTTATCTCCCTCCACCCTTTTTCCATCAAAAGTTGAATTTCATATCGTTTTTTTTCCCCTCTGAATATCTATATATTCGTTCTTACCATCGCCTGAATAGCGGCGACGGATCGAAATCAACCGACTACTCTCCGAGAGATAGTTTTCCGGACCATCTCTTATCATGAATGCAAGAACCATTATAAATGGATGGGCAATGACATGTTCTGCGCAAGGGCGAAGGAGACGTCTGCGCTCTGTAAAGTGAGTCGCTCTTTCTTGGTTTGCAGAATATTTGAACTATACTCTATCCCTGCCTATGCTTCTCCTGTCTAAATGTCTACCCGTTTGTCTGTCTGCATCTCGCTTTCTCTGTCTCTCTCTCTGCCTCTCTCTTTTTCTGTCTGCCTCTCTTTCTCTTTCTCTACCTCTCACTTTCTCTATCTCTTTCTCTCTGCCTCTCTTTGTTTCTCTCTCTCCATTCCTCTTTTCCTCCTGCCCTCGCAAGGTAAGAGGAAGAGGAATTACGCATAATGAAAAGTCACTTGTTTCCTGAAGATAGAATTAGTACCTAGCATCAGCAGTGGAGA